TCCACGAAACAAAGAAAGGTCTGTCACAGCCAAAAAATACACTCCAGACACGCCGATGGCACTAGAGGCACAGCATGGCCGCCTAGTAACGGCCCGGACCACTGCCGCTCGACCTGACCGGAAAAAACCGTAGCAGGAAGCTAGCGAAGTCATAGTATATATCGTCACAAATAGAACTGCCCGGTAAACCGTAGGCAGAGAGAGAGAAGAGGACAACAAACGAGGGGCTATATATATATATAGCCTCCTGATGAGTCGGTGAAACTCCAACGAAACAGTTTGTCACAGCCCCTCGTTTGTTGTCCTCTTCTCTCTCTCTGCCCGGTACCGGGCAGTTCTGTTTGTGACGATATATATGTATTCGAGAACAATGGCTGATGAAATAATCACCTGAGCAGAGAGGCAGAAGGGTGATTGTGGTATAGTTACCGAATGCCATTGACTAGGAGTGTATTATTCTGTGAGAAGAAAGGCCTCATACTTTCAGTCCGAAATTGCAAGTGTTCATCACCTCTCTCTCTCTCTCTCTCTCTCTCTCTCTCTCTCTCTCTCTCTCTCTCTCTCCCCCCCCCCCCCCCCTCCCCGAACCCCCCAGGCTTGTGTGTGTGTGGAATGGCGGTTTTCTTGATTTGCTGGTTTCCCTCGCTGCCTGAACAGTGACATCACTGCAAAGTTGCAAACATGCATCATGTTATCTCATTGATATTTCAAGGATTTTTAATATTTTTGTATTGTTTTATGATTTTGAAAATTTCACACTGCCTGTATGCCTCTGCTAGAGTGTTTCACACCATCTTACACACACACACACAACAAAAAACTGTCATACCAGAAAGAGCTTGCGAATCTCATGAGCAATGGTGATCTTGTGTCCGTTGAGATTCGAGGGATCTTCAGCCTCGCATTTCTCCTCCGGCGTCAATGGATGAAAACTCAACGGCGTCCAAAGACTCATGTCCACACCTGCAACAAAGTGATTATCACCACAGGTGTCAAAGGTGGAAAAAAAATGGAAAAAAAAATTGAAAGAAAAAGAAAACAAAAGTCATCATAAACAACAAAGAATGCACCCCCACCCCCAACTCTCACTCCCTCCGAAAAGAGAAAAAAAAAAAAAAAAAAGTACGAAAAACTACAAAACGCCTTCATTTTCAGTCTTGGGCAAATCAAAATAGCAGAGTCGGTGCAGAGTATGCAGACTTTTTTTTTTCTCTCTCAGGAGATTCAACTTTGAGAAGCGAGAGTTAAAAATTAAAAAATGATTAAAATCGCAATTTCCAAATGGAATAACAGGAACAGAAAAGAAAACCAATCACATGCGTTGGGGGTGTTGAAGAAAAAGCAGTGTTAAAGCACACATGAAACAAACAGCAAAACGTGAGCCAGAGAAGACGGCAAGATGAAGAGCAATTGCATTGATTGAATAAATGTGAATGCCTTTTCAATGTGAGGAACAAGCCCTCAAGAGGCCCTATCAGACATCACATGTTCCGGGCTAAGGCCCCCAGCAAGCCGAATACCCGCCCTAAGTGAAGGCGGGCCTGAATATTCGTCAGAGGCCAAAATTCGACATTTCCAAATGTGGGTATTCAGGCTCTCGTAGCACGCTAGTTGGTTGGGTAGATGCGTGAGCCTCACTAAGCTGCGTCATACAGTTGGCCCAGGCCTTGACAGTTGCGCATGGGCACATACACACAAAGCAGGGCCAATACATTGGGAAGCAGGCCATCGGCCTTTGGAAAAGCAGTATTGTTGATGCACCTGCCGGGGAGCCCTGCACAGATGCAGCCAACAGCCCAAGTTCGGAGACTCAGGCCGTGTCCAACTGAAAAGGGCCCAGGCCCTCAACTGTAGTCTCGGGCCTAGGCACAGGGTCTGAGGCCCAACCGGAAGCTACTGGAAGCTTCCAGCCAGGCCACACGCAGCATCCAGAAGGCTGCCATTTCCATAAAAGAAGTGAGGCAGCCCAGGCCAGGCATTCTGGCCAGTGCAGGCAATGCGCAAGTGCTACTGCGCTATCGCTTGATGCTGCGCTGCTGCCAAGGGCGCTGACGTGGCGCGTAGTGGTGAAGTGGGGCGCAGGTGGCCATAGCCGGGCTGCTGGGCGCCAGAGGGTACAGCGGGTGATCTGGTGGTCTTCAGGTAAGGAGGCGCAGTGTGGGGTAATCAAGGTCTGAGTGAGGGTGACGAGATATGTACCTGGTGCATGAAGAGGGGTCGGCTATGGAGTTGACAGTCATGTACATTGGTCTTCGAGAGTCGAAGTGAGCTTGTTGCGTGAACCAGCTGTAGGTAGGATAGTCGGGTAGAGCAGGTTGGGCGCTGGGCGCCTGACAGAGAGGAGCGACTTTGGATACTGTGTTGGTGTGGCCTACGGGCTTGAACATTGGCTCATTACTTCATTGTATTGCTCTATATGGATGGTTTCTCGATGCATTTGGTACTCTCTGCTTGAATACGACTACCTGGACATCTGTGTGATTTCGCAACATTGGTTTTCTGTATATCGTTCACACTCATATTCCTTGCAATTTGGTATCAGAGCTGGTTCGTGATCGCCGCTTACCTGGCACCAGCGACATTGTTACTTGGTGCGCTGACGATGCTTCATGTGCAGTAAGGATACTTTGGCACTGGTTTGATTGAGCGGGGCCCAGGTAGAGGGGCCGGCCGCTGGAAGGCTGTGGCGACGGCATGGGAGCTGTGGCGACAGCGGGTGTATGTATGATGATGAGAATATGCTGACGTGGCATTTTGGCTGAGGTGGCACTGCATTGTGTTGTGGGTGGTACCGAGGCTAATGACCGGTCATCGAAATGCACGTCGGCCCAATTGGTGAGGAATCTGTGGTTGGGGGCAGCTATCTCCAGGTACGTTGTTCCCATTCCTTATCTACCCTCTCGATCTCTTCTTACCGTGAGGAAGTGAGTCCAACTTGAGTGTCCTCTCTTTGGTGAGGAGTCGTGTGCGCTCTACCTTGAGAGACGACATTCTTCGCGGTGGCGCATCTGGCAGGAGAGGGCGGTGCCTCTAAAGGGCCCTGGTCGAAGCACGGTTCACGGTCACCATGCCAATCCATGGGTAGTAGTACATGCAGGCCATGCTGCTTTGTCCATTGAGGCTCTTTGCTGCGCTGATAGAAGGGGTGTGCGAACTGACCAGTCCTACGTAGACACTCCCAGACCGTCTATAAACATTTCTGGTTGGGGTCTGAATTGTCCACTGGCTGTTATCGTCATCCTGATTGCGACGTTCAAGAATTCTTGAGGACTCTCGAGGGTTGTCCTTAAATTGTCTCTTGATCAGCCAGATCAGTTAGACGTAAGGCTCGTTGCACGAGAGGGTAAACAAAGGGCAGGCTGGTCATAAGCATACTTCTTGGGCACAGGGGTGGGTCGTGGTTGCACACCTTATACACTGCCGCTTGATGATGCTCATAGGTACGTTGGATACAGGGGAAGGGGATTCCAATTGTGAACTCAACTGAACATCACTACTTTATCCATTGTGCATACATCTGCTCACAGTAGTCTAATTTTATTGTTGATTAGTTGGTTGACAGACTGCCGACACCTAACAGACAGCCTAGAGTAGGACTGTAATCTACCATAGTCGGTTCTCCTCAAAGCTTCTAAACAGAACTAGTTAGAATAGAAGTAGACTATATGTGTACATTATGTGTAGGTGTTGTTGATGCCGCCTGATAGGTAGTCTAGGTGACTCGTCGGACAATAAATTATTTTATTTATTTTTAGAACCGGTCAGACGCATGCTGCGGTAGGTCCCAAGGAGGACACTAGTGCAGACAACATCTACCTAGCCCATGAGTGGATCAGAGGGTGCGGAAGGGACAGCTGACGATAGGAGGCAGACACGACGGGAGACCGGTAGGATACTCGTTGTGTTCCAGGTTCTACTACCAGGAGACGAGAGAAGGCTTAGGGCCGAAGCAAGGGCCCGTAATCTAGAGACTGCGAGAGAGGCAGCAGCGACAGTTGAACGAGCATTGGCAGCAACAGCAGCTAGCGGGGTAGCAATGGCTACCTCTTCAGCCACCTCTGCTGCAAACTCTACTGGTATGCCACTCAACGCGACCAGTTCACAGTCCATCTCTAATACATCAGGAGCTGACACTAGTCAGATGGCGGGTTCGCAGTTTAGCTCGCCGCCTCCAAGCTTCCGGGAGCAGATGGAGCTCCAACAAGTAGGAAAGATTCGCTTAAGGCTAGATGAGGAACTTAAGCAGGCTACCAAAAGAGAGAAAAAGATTAGAGATAGGAGTGTCAGACTAGAGGGTAGGGAGGCAGACAAGGCTGCACTGGAAGGGTTAGATGACTCAACCCTTAGCAATACTGAAAATATTTTTAAGGTGAGCATCTTGTCCATGCATGCATACATGGATAGTAAACTAGATACAATCCAGGACACCTTGGACCAGATCCTGAACGCCCTGCACAGGCCAGGAATCAAGCCAGCAGTCTTGCCATTGCCGCCATTCTCAGCGACGACATGCCCCTATGCCGCTCAGTCCGGACCATCACCAAGTGGTACATCAACAACAGCCCTATCTCAGACTGTTGCTTCTTCATCTTCTAGTCCAGCCACAGTCGCCACTTGTCCCACCAGCGGGACAACAATTACCTTGGTACCCCAAACCCCCCCTGAAACCACCTCCAACCTTCTCAGGAGACAAGAAAGATGAGGCTGTCGACACGTGGTTGAGAACGGTGCCCATGTGGGTGAGGGCAAAGAGGACATTGGTAGAGGAGGAGGTGATAACTGTTGCATCCTACTTGGAGCGTTCAACAGCTCGCTGGCTAAATGGATTTGTTGCTTCAAAGGGTTTCGGCAGGAACATGGGTGATTGGGCGTAGACCCACACCTTAGAAAGCTTTATGGATTCAGTGAAGATTCGATGGCACAACCCTCATCAGGCACATATTGCCACCGGTGGGCTATTGAAACTTGACTCTAGGAAGTACAAGTCCGTGAGAGAGTTGACCACAACCGTAGAGCGTTTGATTGTCGTACCGAGAGTGGAGTACAATCCACAGGTCTTGTTGACCATGTTCTTGAGATTTCTTCCCACATACATCAAGAATTTATTAGCCAGTGAGGCTCGTCGAGAGTATCACACTTTTGAGACATTCACCAAGAAGGCCCTAGACTTAGAGGCTACGGTGGGTGGTGCTCAACCCCCCACTACGGATGGAAGAAAGAAGAAGACTCCACAAGAATAGAAGAAAAAGGGTAATCGGTTGATGATGGTTGATTCCGATGGGAATCAAACTGAAATCGATGATGTTTCTGAACTTGTGGAGAATACAGAGTTAGACGGCGAGGAGAGTGTTGAGGGTAGCAACCTCGTCGCAACAGTTAACACTAAGGTAGGTGGTCGCGGCAAGGGCGGTCAGCAAAGGAGTCAAGGGCAGGCCGCTAACCCAAACAAAATAGCTGCTTGGGTTAGAGCAGGCTTGGATCAAGAAGTGTGGCGGGCCTGTTGGTCACATGGTGCTTGCATAAACTACGGCGAGTATGGCCATACGCAGTTTAAGTGCAAGAACCTGAAGGTCTCACAGAAGATCCCTCCTAAGGGTGGGTATCCTTCTTCTCAATCTGGGGCCTCTACAAGCTCCAGCTCAGGAAACACTTAGGGCCGGTAGAAGTTGTAGCTGCTTCTACTCTCGTTGAAGCGGATGATGTACCCTCCCCGTTTCAAGAGTTGGTCGAAGCTATTGACTCCTTAGTCACCCCGCAGACACATCCAGACCCAACTATACTTTGTACGTTGGATGTGTCTGAATCCTTAGAGGACCTTCAAGGTGAGTGGGGTCGGCAAGCGACCCTCATGAGTCCTGGATGACACTTAGTAGAGGTCCTAGAGGGGAGCCCTTCGTTGTGGAAGTTGGTGTGGGTGGTCGCAAGTGCGGCGCCATCGTAGACATTGGCTCCACGCGAAACTT